ATTTGCAACTGGGACTAAAACATTTCTGTCCAGTTGCTCTTTTGAACAAGAGGTATACTCAGAAATTGTTGGCAACTGCTATGTTCTACCATATGGGCTGGGTATCAGAAAAAACCCATTTATGAGCAGAGAAGCAGGGATGAGCAAGGACCTTCTGGGCTCCACACCGTTCCCACCCCCAACCCCTGGCTTCAGTGGAGGCCTGACACCCTGCTGCCCCCCTGCCCTTGGGTTCACTCCATGAGTCAACCCCAAATGTATATGTGTGCATGCTAAGTCACTTCCGTCATGTCCAATTCTGTGACCCTATGGACTGTAGCCCTCCTGGCTCCTCTGTCCATGGGATTCTCCAGGAAAGAATACTGGAGTGGGTTGCCATGTCCCACTCCAGAGGATCTTCCCAACCCAGGGATCGAACCTGTGTTTCCTGAAGCTCCGGCATTGCAGGCAGACTCTTTACCACTGAGCCACTGGGAAGCCCCCGCACCCTGCCCCTGCAAAATGTGCACCTCCTATTGAATTCCCTTTCTTGTCTAAAGTGGATGAAGAGGATTTGTTACTTAAAACCAAAGGGGCCCTAATTAAAACTGTCAACAAAGTCAATCTTTGGGTACCTTTCCTCTCTGTTTCTGCTCACCTCGGAGGTTGAATTCACCTTAAAACTTCATCCTACCCAAGTTTACCTGCTTCTCAATATCTCTGCACGGAAGCCCTTTTTTACACAGATGATTCCCTGAACTCTACATCACTGTGTATTTCAAATCCAGGACCTGCCTGGATTCCTCTACAAGAGGCAATGATAATTTATATTTCCCTCCAAGCCTAGGTAGGGATAAATGAATATAAATCAGAAATGAATATAAATCCATGTGGCTTCCTTCTTTGAGCACGGAAAAAAGAAACCCAATATACATGTTTTGAATTAAGATCTAATGGGAGATTTTATTTACCATGTTAGATCAATTTAAATGTCTAATTTTTCATTAATGTTTCTGAATACCTCCAGCTTTCCAGCCACTTATTTTTATGGGATTCATATTTTTAAATGGCATCTTATCTGCCTACTTCTTGGTTCAACCACACATGTGGTGTATTATACATATGCATGACCAGGGAGCAGGGGGTATTTCTTTGTTGCTTTGAGTCTAGCTACTTCTCTTTTTTTTCTTTTTCTTTTTAAATTTACTGAGGTATGGTTGATTTACATTACAGCTACTTCTCTTAAAGCTCAAGAGACAGAGTCACTTAGGGTAGTACGTCATACCTGGGATAACACATCTGCTCTTTAGGTTTTCAAAGTCACTAGACGCTGCAAAACCAGAGGTTAAGAGTGACTTGACTCTCTTAGTCCGTCTGATGTTATGTAGCCTCTGAATTTGATTTCAGGATTTGGGTCTTTTAAAATCAGGACTTCTGGGAATTCTCTTTGGCAACTATATGCTTAGCAGAAAAGTCTGATTATCTTGGCTGCCTCATGTCACATAACAATACGTAGTCCCAGACACCCAGTGGTTTTCTTAGAGCGGGTTGCTTTCTTTATGGTAATCAATTTACTTGGCCCAGCTGTCAGGCACTTGACTGCCCAATGTACAACTGGAAATAGGACTTGAGCCGCAAGGAAGGGAGAAAACTCAGATTTTCCTAAACACACAGTGAGTGAAAAGTTTTGCCTGGTCACTAACACACCTGTGTTCTCCTCATGAAACAGAAATGTCAATTTGGAAAACAATATAACTACAGAGGTTTCTCCACCCAGGAAAGTTTCACATGATATCTGACCTGGCCATGAGCCCAACATCCATCGTGAAGGACTTAACATAAATTAATCTAAAACCGGAAATGAGGCAGCTGACATTGTTGACTAGTTTCCTCTTGTTAATTCAAGGAAAAGATTGAAAGGACCTAAGATATGGCAGATGACAGCACTGAAAAGTCATAGAAATAAGTAACAGAGAAGAAAAATTCTCTTATTCCACATTTTAGGTATTCCTTGGGTCAAAACTGAAAGAAGGGGGAAAATGTATGGTAATGCATGGGACATACTTTTCTCATCCAACTCTTCCGCACCATATGGATTCTCCCCAGGGGAACAGAAGAATATAAAAGAAAATTAGCAAGGCAGGGATTCCCGCCCATAGGAATACCTGCTGGGATCTCAGATGAGAAGCAGCACTGACTACCCGCATAGACGCTACTCCTGTCTATACGGGGACAGGACACACCACGGGCAAGGGGGGCCTGAGGACCCAGACAGGCCCTCTCCTCAGATGCCTTTTAGGGCATAAACACTGAATTGCTAAAATTATAACTTGAGGAAACGCAGCATAGGAGGTTTTCTTCCTAACATCTTCCTTCTCCCAAGAGCACCAATCTGTCCGTGATTAGAAACCCTAATGCCCACTTTAAACCTAATAAAAGGTGAGGTCTCTTTACCTTTGTGGCTTAGGAATGAAAAGACACTTGTTATTTTTAAGTCACACTCCTATTTTTAGGAATGACTTGGAGACTTCTTCACAGTTTCCTGGCCACAGTCTGCTAGACTGTACAAGTATGAAGTTCCAAGTGCAAAGCACTGACTGAATGCATTCCACTGCCCTGGATTACTTCTGACTAGACCACAAGCATCCAGAAGGTAGGGACTGCGGTACATATTTCTTTAACCTAAGTCTAAGCACACAGAATGCTTGGGAAATTTTTTCAGGGCAAAACAATACTTATCTTAGTCTTCAAACAAGTTTTCATTTCCACAGCATGAAGCAGAGGAGATGCCTTTGGAAATATGACCATGTCATCCATTCAACTACTGTCTTTTTTGTTTTCTTTTTTAAAATTTTTAGTTGCATCCTATGGCTTGTGGGATCTTAGTTCCCAGACTGGGGATCAAACCCGTGTCCTTGGCAAGGAAAGCAAGAAGTCCTACCCACTGGACCGCCAGGGAATTTCCAATTCAACTATCGTGGAGCCCCACAGCATGTGTATTCACTAACACTCAACATAAGCATTTACAAGAGCCATTACTGACCACAAATATCATTAAATGTGCATGGCTGCCCAGCCGTATTCTATTTCGGGGATCTCATTACTACCCAGGAAATGATTTCATACTTCATTGTCTCAAATCGCATCATCCAAAAGAATTAGGATAAAACGGTTTCCTTAGAGAACGTCTTTCCTTCTATCTTGTCTTTGCATATTGTCTTTTGGGGCCACCCCAGCTTTCTCGGCTCACAATGCTGGCTACACAGCAAACTCTGAAATAGAAATACTACACACTAGAATCTTACCATTAGGAGGGGACAGGAGTCACTGTTGTAACAGAGTTAAAGTCATAATATGCAAGTCCACGTTATCAGAGAAGAGGGAGAGAGCATGTGACCTCCCTGAATTGACTGGAAAGCCAACAGATTACTGTATGTCACCAAGACCTTTTGACATAGGAGGGAGGGTTCAAATTATGGAAGCATGTTGGCCTGAACAAGTTTTTTTTTAACTTGCAGCTTTTAGCAATTAGCACAACCTTGCGAGATCTCCTATTTACATAGGAGAAACTGTACCATCAGTTTAGAAAAATGGGGTGATAGTAAGGATGTAATAATTGTATTATGCTTTATCTGTAACAAATCATGTCCCCCGGAAGTTCCAGTGTGTTTTAAATTCACATCAAAGGAAAGAATTCTTAATCCCACCAACTGGCAAATACAGGAATTTCAACTGTTCTGATGCAATAATTTTAAGTAAATAATTATTAATTTCCTACTTTCCAACCTACCGGTCAACCAGAAACACGCAACTGCTGGTGAAATTACACTGGGAAGGGGTCTCACGAATACATTTCTTGCTTTCATCCTCCAAGCACTGTAAATTACAAACTGAATTTACCATCCTCCAAGTAGGATCCATACCAGAATTCTGAGTTTTTCTAAAAATTATCTTTAAGCAGCAATGAGCTAAGGATGGGATATGATTTGGTAAGTAGTGTTATTAATGTAACTTTTCCTTCTCTGTTTTTAAAGTCATACTTTTGAATTTTATACTACACGTATGTTTTTTGCTTTGTGTATGTGTGCGCTAAGTCCCTTTAGTCATGTCTGACTCTTTGTAACCGTAGGGACTGTAGCCCGCCAAACTCCCCTGTCCATGGGATTCTCCAGGCAGAATACTGGAGTGGGTTGCCATGCCCTCCTCCAGAGGCTCTTCCTGACCCAGCGGTTAAATGTGCATCTCTTACATTTTCTGCATTAAGGAACCTGCAGGCGGGTCCTTTACCACTAGTAACACCTAGGAAGCAAATACTTCAAAACACACTAAATTTTTCAAAACACGCTAAATTTTTATCTGTTCTGAAGCTCATGGGACAGATAGGAGACTGGGTGGGAAAAGAAATCCAAAATACATGAATTTCAAATTCTAAACCAATCTGCCAAAATTGGATAAGCTGAAATGACATTTAGATACTAATAAAAATATTATTTGTCTCAAGAATTTAGATTACTTACTGTAATATTCCATTATGAGAAATTTCTATTTATAAAATCTCATTGCTACTCTATCACTAATCACTTCAAGTGCCATCTTAATGGTTTATTAAGTTCAGAAAAATATTTTTAATGGTTCGTAAAGAAAATAGTACAAAAACACCAAACAGTGCAAGGTCCTCTATTAGGAAAGAAATTTTGATCAATTAACGCAAGTGCTTTGCATGTCATTAAAAGCCATTTAAAATTATGACCTGCATCATCTTAGAAAAGCAGCAGTGTTTCCCAACAATTTGCAGTCATAATCAGGAAAAGAGAAGTGTATTTAATAAGACAGATATACGGCTAACATCCACAAACTCATACATGAAACACACGAATTTAAGGCAAGTAATCCAGTCATTCCCGACTTTACCCTAATAATGCTTAATATTGCTGCCAACAGGCAAATGTAACCCATGGGTAGCCCAGCTGGCTTGCAAGTGATGGTATCAGTATGTGAATATTTTAGCAGAAATCAAGTACCTGATAGTTTCATGAGAAGTTCAGACGCTGCTTTGACTGACATATCCCGTCTCAGTACGTTGCCCTTTGCTTCCTGGGGCTTAAGCGTGTCCTCAGAGATGCTTGGGGCTGACACTTCAGACTCGGGGCTGAACACGTAGCTGGGCCGAGGCAATGAGACGCTTAGGGCCTCCTCTTCCTTAGGCTCCTCTTTCACTTTAAAATTGAGATTCATGGGCTCCTTCTGATTTGCAGCTGTCAAAAGAAGAAAGGGATTACATACATAGACATATACAAGAGACCACTCCCGCTCTTGGCTACTCCCAACTTAATGAAGTTTGCAATGCAGGAACACACCAAGCTAACACCAGAGGGACCACAACCCCATCAAAATAGGCTGAGCCCTCGGCACAAAAATATAAGACACTCCATGAGAGCAGGACTTAGGAGAGTGTGGACTTCGGAATCTTTGGAACTTACCGTATTTCAAGAAGTGCTGCCTCTACAAAGTGTCTGGGTGTTTTCTCTCTGGTTTCCCTCAATGTCTTCTTCGCTGTACATGTCACTGCCTCTCTGACCTCTTAGCACTCTCCCTACCTAACCCTGTTATAGAATAGTGCATTCAAACAGTTACTCTGCCATAAAACACTGAATATAAACATGTTAGTCGCTCAGTCCTGTCTGACTCTCTGCGATCCCCATGGACCATAGCCTGCCAGGCTCCTCTGTCCACGTAATTCTCCAGGCAAGAATACCAGAGTGGGTTGTCATTTCCTTTTCCAGGGGATCTTCCTGACCCAGGGATTGAGCTTGGGTCTCCCACATTGCAGGCAGATTCTTTATGGTCTGAGCCACCAGGGGAGCCCCTAAACATGAGTTCATGGCAATAATCCAAGCAAAAACCTAGACTGCAGCGGTCAGGTGGGGATGGAGAATCTGTCAAAGAGAAAAGCTCAGCACAGAGATGTGCTACTTTGGCCTTATCATAAGCTGACGCTACAGCCCCACAAAGGGTGGGGCATGTATTTGGTGCTGTCTCTCTGGTCTACATCTTGTAGCCCAAATTATCTCCTAGTCCACAATGGGCATTTTTAAAGGAAAAATAAATATTATTTTCTAAATGTAACTTTAGTTTTGCAGAGAAGCTGCAAAGATGATACAAAAAGTTCCCATACATCCTTCACCCAGAGTTTCCTAAAGTTATCATCTTACGTAACCATGGAGCATTTGTCAGAACGAAGCAATTCCCATTGCTGTGATCTAAGATCCAGACTGTAGTCAGATTTCACCAGTTTTTCCACTAATGTCCTTTTCCATTCCTAGCATGGTTGGCTGGTGTGGCGTGTGTGGTCAGAGCAAAGCTGACTGGCCTATTATGGGATGGATTCTGTGGCTTGGCTATACCACACTGCGCTACATACTACTTCCTGATCTTCCTTGGGAAAAACCAAGAAGGAAGGCAAGCAGCCTCATGTACCACTTGCCACTTTCACAGGCATCTCACTTCCCGTTAAAGGGTCATAGTAGGAAAACTTTAGGTTGGTTATATTAGGTATACCGGTATTTTGAGAAAGAAGATCTCATCCCAATACAGAAATCTTAGAAATGCTTACTAGAATGAGCAAGTTCTTTATCACTGCGCCACCCGGGAAGTCTAGACAGATAAACAGCTAGGACTAAAACCCAGGTCCATGGATTGTCCACGTTATATCCCTTCCTACCTCCATCACACCATCCCTCCATCTCTGATCTCTGTGTTAGACCAACACTTGAATGTAACTTGACCTTCACATCTTGGCTAAAACACCACCTTCTCAATGAAGAACCTGACCATCCTCATCAAGACCGCAACCCCCACCCCATAGGACTCCCAATCTGTCTTACCCAACTTTACCTTTCCTTTTTACTCCAAAATGTTTATTACCGGAAGACACTTCACTGCGGACTGAATTTTGTCTGCCCACCTCCCCAAATACATATATTGAAGGCCTAACTCCCACTGTGACTGTATCTGGAGACAGGGAGGCAACTGGTTAAATGAGGCCATCAGGGTTGGGTGTGACCCTGATCAATACGATTGGTGTCCTGAGAATAAAAGAGACACAAAGGATGTGCACAGCGAGTAAAGACCACGTGGGCCACAGGAGAAGGCCAAGCAGAGAGGCCTCAGGAGAAACCACACCACCAGCACCTTGGTCTCGAACCTCCAGAATGAGGAGAAATACGTTTCTGCTGCGTGAGCCGCCAAGTCTGGGGTATCTTGCCAAGACAGCCCCAACAGGCGAATCCATACCACATCATTTTCTTGTTTATTAGGTTAACCATTTATGGTCTACGTCTCCGATTCAAAGACAGAGGTTTCATGAAGGCGATGACCTTTATGGGGTTTTATTTCTTTTTATTTTTTTACTTTCTCCCTCAAAAAATTCTGTTCATTGTGAAATAAAATGTCATTAAAAAATGTGCATAAAACTCATACGCAGAGCTTAACAAGTATGAACGACACTGTAAAAGTCCTTTTGGGTCAAGAAATAGAAAACAGCCCTGTTTACTTAACAAATAGGAAGTTCGTGTGCTGGGTTGGTGGGCCTCTGGGCTCCGCTTTATGAAGAGAGCTATGCCTGTCATGGGCATCCTTCCTGAGGTCTGGGGAGTATGTCTGTGCTCAGTCGCTTCAGGCGTGTCTGACTCTTTGTGACCCTGTGGACTGCAGTCCGCCAGTTTCCTCTGTCCATGGGATTCTCTAGGCAAGTATACTGGAGTGGGTTGCCATGCCCTCCTCCAGGAGACCTTCCTGACCCAAGGATGGAACCTGCATCTCCTGCACTGCAGGTGGGGTCTTTATCCACTGAGCCATCTGGGAAGAACAGGGAGTATGCTAAACCTTTCAAAAATGAGCTAAGATGGACAGCGGGTGCTCACTGCATCCCGCCCACTTCCCATCATCACAGACAATGGCCTTTCTTAAAATGCTGATGTACCTCGAGTGTGTAGAACAGGGCCTGGAACAACACATAGTAGGTACTCAACACATAGTTGTTGAATGAATAAAATAGGTTGGTCACAAATCAGTGATATCTGTTGGCACTCCATTATAACTCATGGTAAACAAGAACTATGAATTCCAAAATATTTTACTAAAGGCAATCAGAAGTGCTTTCCCAAGGTATCATCAGATCTGGGATAAAACTTCCCAGATAAAGCTAAAAACTCTGCTACTACCCTACAACTCCTCTGGAGGTGTTTCTGAATGATCACTTGGACTCTGGCATTACTGAAGGAGGAACCCAGAAGAATCTCCAGAAAAGTGCTGAAAATCTAGCCCACTGGGGACAATGCCATTGGAACCTGAGCCCAAGAAGACAAAGCCGTGTCCAGAGCAATCTTCAGGCATGCATTTTGGACCTCTACAGAAGGTAACTCCTAAGAGAATCCTGTTTGGTTAGCACATTTCTCCCCTTCCAACTACTTCCAGAGGGGTTTTTACCAGCCGTCTCCTAAAGTCTCCCTCACCTCAGCCTTTCCTCCAGAATCCTGCATAAAACCTTTTCCAAGAGTACCCCAATTTAGTGGACACAGAGTAATTAAATGGATGCTATCTATTAAGTCTGTAACTTCAGTTCTTTGGGAAGGAAAAATACAAAGTGAGTGGTTATGTATTTTTTAAAATGCTTTAGATCTGCATATTTTATTTTTGAAACTTTAAAAAATTCTAAGGTGAGGCTAGGAAAGAGATAAGAAACTGCTGGAGCCCTAGAAGCAAATCCCAACTATTGGAGAGGACAACCACTGAGCTAATGTTCTCTGAAGGTATAAGGTAGCTTTTGGGAGCATTAGTCAGAACACATGCTACATAAGATATAAGGGGAAAAAAGATATTTGGCATCGTTTGCACAACCCAAATTTAACAGAATTGCAATGACACTTAAAAAAAAATACACAAGCTGTATGTTGCTGTTTTTGTTGCTATTTTATAAATTTGCAAGGTACTTCATACCTGGTTTTCATTCTGACAATGTCAAGAATGGCATAAAATGAGCAATGTGCTAGGGAGATGTAAATGTAGCTAATGACATATCAAAAAATATGTGGGAAACCCTCATTTGTCCAAGTTAAAATTTCCCAAACATTTGGGTCTAAATAGATGATATAAAAATAGCAGTATGAAGGCTACACTGCTGTCTTTCAATTACCAGAAATATTTGCACTGAGAATAGTATATAAAGCCCTATATTTTAAAATTAATATGACAATAATTGCCATCATTTTTTACTATCATACTTTTAAAAAGCCTATTATCTTTTACAGAGAAAGGTGGAACTAAAGATGTTTTCTTCCTCTTTGGGGAAATTGCTAGAGAAAAGCAATAATTTATGACTCACTGCCTAATCTTTGCTTCATTCTCACCACTAAGAAGATCTGTGCACATATGGAACTCAATTCATAAAGAACTTTCACAGCAATTGCCCTGACTTCTGTTTATGTATCTTAAAGCTTTAGACACTCTACTTTATGCAGCAAGGAAGCCCAACTAACCAAGAGATCCCCTTCTCTCCCTGTTCAAGCATTTTGTGACCTGAGAAAATTATGACTAAAAATTATGTGTATCTGTTAAGTCAATGCACTCAACAGAGCTGGGTTGCCATTGAAAGGAAATAAATCAGTTTTTTCTAAATCAGGATTTAGAAAGGATTCAAGATAAATGCTCATATGGGAAGGGGATGGGGAAGCTACTGGGATAAAATGATTCCAAGTTTCTAATTCTAATAGGCCAGCATGCATGAGCTGTAAAAGGAACCGCTATTCTAGCAAAGTGTCCTCAGCGTCATCAATACACACTGACCTTCTAAGCCCCTCCCACCTCTGACCCCAGGACAATGCTATATAGCTTCCTTAAAGACCATTATTTGGAGACTTCCCTGGTTGATACAGTGGCTAAGACTCTATGCTCCCAATGCAGAGGGCCTGGGTTCGATCCCTGGTTAGGGAACTAAATCCCACACCTCACAACTAAGAGATTGTATGTCACAACTAAAGATCCCATGTGCCACAACTAAGACCCAGCACAGACAAATAAGTAAAAAAAAATTTTTTTTAGAAAAAGACCACTGTTTGTTCCAATGACACACACAACTAGCATTTGAATTGTTATACAGGAATCGCTCTTTCCATCAACCACAGGAGACAAGTATTATTACCATGTTCATCTTAGAGGTGAAGGAAGCAAGGCCCCAAGAGGTTAAAGGACTGACGCC